CGGGAAGTCGTCGCCAAGATCAGCGGTTGATATTATTTTCCGCCCGAGACAAGGTGCTCTGGGTTTGTGGGCACTGGTTTTGTCATTATCGATACTCACTACCCTCCGTACTCATTGCTATTGCCTTTCAACGAGCTGATTGTCATCTCGTGGGCGGCAGTAACACCCCACTGGCCTAACATTTTGTGCATTCTGCACAATTAATCGCTCCGCCCGGAAGACAGACTAGGGCGTGAGGTTGAACGTCACATGCGGAACAAGTACGTAGGGTGCCAACCTAGCACCAACGCAGAGGAGGTTGAGGGCCGACAGAATCAAACCCGCAACCTCCCCATTGCCATGGCAGAGCTCTAACCCACTGAGCTGGCAAAGCTATAACCCACTGAGTAACCAGGCTTGTCCAGGAGTCTCCTATTTTCTAGAGCAGTCCCTGAGGAAGTTGCAAACATAGGGCCCTGTCCTTCAGGACATCCGTTAAAATTGGAACGATACAGAGAAGATTTTTTTTTATTTTTTTTTTTTCTATATTCTTCTCTCWACTTCTGTTTTTGCCTTTCACTACTACTCCTAAGGCTATCTAGAGGGGACCCCTGCAAGCATAGTTTCCTCTCACTGTGAAGGGGAGATTTCATGTTGCCCCTTGCCCCTAATGTTGAGGGTATAGGGTTGGGGCCGCCAGTGGGGGTCTGGCTAACACAAAGACCGAGACCTGCCAGTAGCTGCGCCTCCCTTTCTCATCGTCCCCCACCCCTCATCCAGTAGCAGCAGTAGCTATGGCCAACACTCTCCCACACACCACACACAACCCACTCGCACTCGCACTCACACCCATGTTGGTCATAGATTCCACTAATACCGATCAGGAGTATCCTGAGGACTATCCCAATTCGTTGGCACTAAGTGCGCCGCAGGCTGTCATGGGGCTTGAACCCACAACCTCCTGATGGCATGGCCCCTGCACACAAGGATGACACGCACAAATCAAGAAATGGTCCAAATTGAAAAGAAAAGAAAAAAAGAAAAAAAAAGGGCCTCCAGGGCCTCAACCATTCAAAAAACCACTGCTCCCTGGGTTTCGGTTCCTAGACAGGTGAAAATATGTATGGGTCTTCCAGCAGGGCAGGTCTGGAGGTACTGGTGGTGGTTAATCAGGATGTGAACTCGTTGACAGTTACAAGTGTTCACCATTCAGCCCCATGGGCTGCGTGATCCTCTAGTACTTGACCTCGGCATGCAACTTGTTGGGGCTCTTTCGTAGGCACGCTCGTTTGCCTTTTGCCATGACCACTGACTTGCCAGTGGAATAGGAACCGGACTGATGCTCCCCAGAATGGAAAGGAGCCAGAACCATACGATTCTGTTTTCCTGAAGGGATCATTTGCAAAATACCCCCATAAGTTGAGATATATGCCAAAATGCCTCTGAATCATGTGGATAGAGGGGAATCCCCCTCTGAGGAAAAAAAAAACAATTAGTGAATTACCCCTCGTGCCGGTTGGACCCCCCATCTTTGCGATACAACTTTGCACCAACTTTTCCAAGGCCTGGTCAAAAGGCCAAGGCCCAAACGGCAAGGTCCAGATTGCAAATTTGCACACCCACCTGACAGGGGCACAACACAAAGATTTCGGCCCGTAAGGACATTCCACCCTACCCACATCTTTCAGGGGCATTTTGGCATATATCTCAATGTACGGGGGTATTTTGCAAATTATCCCTTCGATAAAACAAACAAAAGGGAAAATTGCATCTGTACACTGTACCCCACTTAAACCGCAAATACACGGCCCCAGCCTTGCAGAAAGTTTTTGTCGCCACAAGCAAAACTCGGAGGGGCTGCGCAGCGTGGGGCGCCATTGAAAAAACAAATCTGCTGCCTCCAAAGTGGTGCGGGTTTCATGCTGACACCCGCGGGCGGATGTGTGGTGTACTGGTGCTTTAAAGATGGGAATAGCCGCTATACCCAGTCCCAGCGCCCAACTTGCATCTATACGCAGAGCCCGTTCAACTTCGCATAGTACCCGACTTTTCCCCTGTGCAAAATTGCAGGCATACCCAGCCCCGGAGGTCCTGCGCCAGTCCCAGCGCCCAACTTGCATCTATACGCAGAGCCCGTTCAACTTCGCATAGTACCCGCCTTTTCCCCTGTGCAAAATTGCAGGCATACCCAGCCCCGGCGGTCCTGCATTCCACTCAACGGAATTATGCCCATGCCCAGAAACGGGCTGGCAAAATTGCTGGTGTACCCACAGTCAGGGGTGGGCCTTGGATGGCAACCACAAAGTTATGCTCATGCCCACTGCTGGGTATGAGCATAATTTCAGGCATCCGGTAGTAGAGTATATGAAAAATTTAGGGTCTGTCTCTTATACACATCTAGATGTGTATAAGAGACAGGTTCAACTTTGCATAGTACCCGACTTTTCCCCTGTGCAAAATTGCAGGCATACCCAGCCCCGGAGGTCCTGCGCCAGTCCCAGCGCCCAACTTGCATCTATACGCAGAGCCCGTTCAACTTCGCATAGTACCCGCCCTGTCTCTTATACACATCTAGATGTGTATAAGAGACAGAATTTAGGGTATATGAAAAATTTGGCCGGTCCACCTCAGAGCCGGGTATGCCTATAATTTTGCCTGGGTATGTCCATAATGTTGTCTCTTATACACATCTAGATGTGTATAAGAGACAGCCCAAAGACTTCTAACTGTTGTGGACCTGGTCCAACAGAGGCGTTAGCATCGTCCCACTCTGGGTGAGTACCAGAACACATCACTGTCGAGAGCAGCTGTCTGGATGCCCTTCACTCACCCCGAAGGTTTCTAACTGCTGTGGACCTGGTCCAATAGTGGCGTCGGTGTAGACCTGGTCCAATACTGGCGTCCATATCTTTGCTGTGGGTGAGTACCAGAACACATCACTGTCGAGAGCGGGTGTCTGGATGCCCTTCACTCACCCCAAAGGTTTCTAACTGCTGTGGACCTGGACCAATAGTGGCGTCGGTGTAGACCTGGTCCAATACTGGCGTCCATATCTTTGCACTCCGGGTGTACCAGAAGACAACACTCGAGACGGGCTGTGTGGACAGTGGAAAAAGTGGAAACACTCACCCTAAAGTGGAAAAACTCACCCCAAAGGGTGAGTGTTTGCAAAGTCCGCCCCCACCACAAATCACCTGTGCAGTCTGGGAAACCAGGCAGTGAGGAGTACCCACCATGCTCTGTTTTCCGCTGTTTTCACATTGGGTTTTCTGTTTTCACATCGAGTTTCATATTTTTTTCACATTGGGTTTAGGATCACCAACAGCAGTGTATGGTGAGTAGTGCAGCGAGGCCCATAGAGTCACACAGCACTTTTTTTTAGCATTTTCTGCCCTCCCTCTAATGGCCTTCCTTTTTTTTTCCTGCCCTGCTGTTTTCATGAAACAATTTCTCTTTCTCCCCTTTGAAACACTGGGAAACACCACGGCTTAGCAGGCCCCAGAATTGCATTCGCGATCACATCCAGCTGCCTCATGCCACGGCTCAGCAGGCCCAAAATTGCAATGCCAAAGTACGATTTTGGTGGTTGAAGGGCAAAGTGTGACTGTAAGCCCGTAGCAAGTTTCGTGAATTTCGGAAAAGAAAGGTCCTGGTGTGAGTGAATAGCCTTCAAAGTTCCGCTGGCTGATTTTTGTTTTCACATTCTTTGCCGATACTTTTCTACTTGACAGTTATTTGGGGTTGAGTGTAGGTTGAGTGTTGGTTGTTTCATCAAACAGTCCCCAAGTCTACAGATGGCTGAACCACAGCAGTCCGAGCCCCTACGTGGCATAAACAATCGCAACTCTCTTCCCCCCGCCTCTCTCTCTCTCTCTCTCTCTCTCTCTCTCTCTCTCTCTCTCTCTCCTGTCTCTTATACACATCTAGATGTGTATAAGAGACAGGTATCACTGGATCCAGTGACCAGTTTCCGCTGTGGACTTCAAGGCAACTTCAGGACACGAAGGGGTTGAAGCCGAAGGCCTAACTTTAGTGAGTNTCTCTCTCTCTCTCTCTCTCTCTCTCTCTCTCTCTCTCTCTCTCTCTCTCTCTCTCTCTTGCGTCAGTGTGTGTGTGCATGCCTGGACAAAGAAATAAAACCAACCCTGCCAGATGGCAATGTGACCCACGTTGGAACACAGCAGGAGGAGAAGCAGCAAAAGAGAGAAAAAGGAGGTGTAACACTTCGCAAAGCATCACATGGCAGCAAGAAGAAGCAGAAGAGGAAAGGTGGGAAGGAAGAGGGGGGAAGCAGGCGGACAAGGAGGAGGTGGAGGAGAAGGAGAAGGAGAAGGAGAAGAAGAAGCAAAAAAGGGGTTTCGGGCCAGGCGTCACGTGGCCGCACGGTCATCCCGAGAAAATCGGGTAGAAACACAAGGGAGAAGGAAAGGAAGGCGGAACGGGATAGAGGCACAAGCAGTGTGGTCCTCGCAAAAGGAGAGGGCCGGGGGACAAAAGAGAAAAAGAAGAAGCAGATGAAGGAGACGGGGAAAATCGCAACAGAGCGGTAAGGTAACAACGGGGGAAGGAGTCGAGGAGGTTGAATAGGAGAGCGGGAGAGTACGCTTGTAAACAAAACAAAAAAAAATAAACAAAAAAAAAAAAGTCTAACTAAAACAAATTAGTAATGTGCTACTATGTGGCAAGCCTAGAATACCCTCTCCCGGTTTTCTGTCATTCCCTCCTCTGTTGGCATTTCCTCCGCTTCCTCCTCCTGCTCGTCCTCCTGTGCTGATTTTTCTGTGGAAACCACTATAAACGTTCCACGACGGTAAAACATTTATTTCTTCCTCTTCTTCCTCACTCTTACTAGGATCCCAACCAACGTACCTGCGACGTCACGTGATGAACCACCCCTTCCTCGTCTTCATATCGTCACCTTCTCCTCCTCCTTCCTCTTGTTCTCACCTTCTCCTCCTTCCTCCTCTTCTTGTTTCTAGTTCTTCCTCCTCCTGTTGCTACGCTATTGATTGTTTCACTACGGAGACTCCCGCCACACCGCATGGCGCGCACCGCCTCCTTTCTTCTTAATCACTATCTTCTTTTTCTTCTTCTGCTCCTTCTTCCCCTCTGCTCCTACCCGAGCACGTCGGCTACGTGGTACAACGAAACCCGCCTCCCCCTCCATGTACAGTACCGTCTCCTTCTCCTCCACCTGCTCATATCTTCTTCCTCCTCCACGCCCTCCAGGTCTGACGTGCCTTCCATGTGCCATGATAGAGCCCTCCTAATCTAATCTTCTTTCTAGTTCTCCTTCACCTCCACTCCTACTGCTCATCCTTCGGAAACCTAAACGCGACCTCACACTCCTACGGTCACGGCATGACTGTCGTCTGGCGTTACGACGCCTTGCTTCACCTCACATCTTTGGCTCTTCTCCTTCTTCTTCTTCCCGCTCCTCCACCTCCGCTTTTCATGTCCTTGAAAGGCCCTCGCCCGTCTTCTTTCACATGACATGGCAAAGCCCTCCTCCTCATCTTTTTCTAGCTCTACTTCGTCGACTTTAATCCTAAATCAAATCTTCCTCATCCTCCGGAAACCTAAACGCGACCGCCACATCGGGCTGTACAGAGTTGACCCTCCGAATACAATTTCTTTCTCCTTCTTCTTTACGGCATTCCTCACACTCCTGCGGTCACGTCATGACTGTCACCTGGCACGACGACGCCTGCCTTCACCTCATATCATTGGCTCTTCTTCTTCTTCTTCCCACTCCTGCTCCGCTTTTCATGTCCTTTCAAACCCCCTCGCCTGTTTTCTTTCACGTGGGATGGACAATCGTGAGCGAATGGTTCGTTTGAAAGGGATGAAAGTATGATGGCACAAGAAGAAGGGAGACGAAAAAGAAAAGAAGAGGCGACGAATGAGAAGGAGGTGGAGGAGGTGGACGTGAAAAAGAAAAACAAAGAAGAAGAATAAGAAGAGGGGGAGGGGAGGGGGAGGGGAGGGGGAGGAAGAAGAAGAAGAAGAAAAGAAGAAGAAGAAGAAGAAGAAGAGGGAGAACGAGAGGAGGGAGAGCCAGGAAGCGAAGAGAGGAGGACGAACAAGCAGAAAGAAGACAAGAGCGAGGATACTATAGATTGAGGTAATCAGAGGGCAGAAGACAGCAGTAGTAGATTTTGCATCAAAGACGACTGATAGAAACGTGTGTGTGTGTGTGTGTGTGTGTGTGTGTGTGTGTGTGTGTGTTGTCATGTTCGACATACATAAGTGTACAAAAAACGTATGCCTGTGTGTGTGTGTGTGCGTGTGTGTGTGTGTGTGTGTGTGTGTGTGTGTGAGAGAGAGAGAGAACAGACAGACAGACGGACCGATCTGAGCAAGGACTAGCACTCTCGCAATGCACGGGGATGTAGACGCGCGTGTTTGTGCCCTAGGGAAACACAAACAATCACGAGGAGACGACAGGGAACAAAACTGTTGCCCGAGGCAAAAACACCAGCTACCTCCATTAGCAAGTTGAGACGGGATGGCCTACTAGAAACTAACAAGCGCGGCGTTCAACATTTGCGAACACTCGTGCGCGCAACCGCGACCGATCACGCATACAACACGCATACCCCTTACCCCCTCCTGCCCACATCCAACTGCCCCTGCCCAAGCACAGGCACTCACAGGTAAAGACACGCAGCCACATACAGAGACAGAAGACCAACAAGGAGGGCACCACACACACACACCTCCCACTTTCACTTGCCCCCGCCAAGCACAGACACTCACAGGTCACGACACGCGGTCACGCACAGAAACCGACGACCGTCATGAAGAGCGACACACACATAAATACGTACTTCTGGCGGGCCGGCGCCAAATCCTTTGGCCACGTGCGCTGCAAGTTAATTCCAATCTCGATGTGCCTGTCCACACTCGTCGCCGGAGGACTCCGCATCAGCGTTAGTGGCAGTGGCAGACCGCTAAATCCTGGCCGTCCGACCGCGAGCTGTCAGTGGCCAGCCCGTTCTTCGTTCGTAACCATGCCGTTCGATCCGGACCCTGTGTTCAGAGAGGATGTTCGCGGCCGATTCCTCTCCGCAGCAGTGAAGGGTGATCGCGGCAGTGAGCGGACAACGGTTGGATTGGCTAACCAACCGTCGACGATGCGTCTCACGCTTGCTTGGACCGTCTTTGTGTCAACCCCCCTCACCTCCCCCTGCCCTCATCCATGCCCGCAACGCCGGGCTCCTCTTCGTCCGTTTGTCCCATGGTCCAGGAGTCCCCAAAGCCATCCAGCGGAAAGGAGCGGGCCCTAAAAAAGAAGGGGCTTCGGCTGAGGGCGGTAAGAGAGCCTTTCCGTTCTATGGGTGGGAAGTTCCACCTGCTGGAAAACGTGTCCAGCGCCCCGAAATGATATATCAGAAGACAAATCATAAAGCACTGGGGTAATTAGCTTAGCTCGAGTTGTCTTGTCACCAAGAACCCTCTCAGCTCAAGGCTACCTAAAAGAGAACTTCCCATAACGTGGTTCTACATGATTGTGATCCAACTAAACATCTTGGTTCCAGTTGGCACCACTCTAATCAATTCGACCACTAACGTCTTCACCCAAAAATAATGCTCGGGCATTATATTCAACTTACCCTAAAAAAATCGAAGTTTTGTTTTTACTCTTTTTTTTGAAATACAACACCTTTTCGAATATAACGTCTGGGCTTTATATTCGAATGGAAAGTCTGGGCGTTATATTTGAATGTTCCATGGAGAGAGTGCCTTGTAGAGGGAGTATACATGGGTTTTAAAAAGGGTTGAAAGGGGGGTTTACTTCCAAAGGGTATGTTTTTGTTTGATTTTTTGTTTTCTTTTTATTTCTTGGAAGGTCGGTGTGAACTACACGAATGGGCAGTAAGAGCATCCCCTCCTTTGCAAATTTGTTTTCGTTTTTTATTTCTAGATTTATAAGGAATTCTGAAGTGACCATCTGCCAAAAGTTGGTTGCGTTGTCGGGGCAAATACCCTGACAAGGGTATTTGCCGGGTTTTTTCAACATCGAACGCTGTCCGACTTTTTCGCTTAAACCACCACTACCTCCGACCCTTTTTTGCCGAGCCTGAATTTTACTGCGCACCGAGTTTTGCCGAGCCTGGGCAGTTGCGTCTGTGAAAGAACATAAAAACGAAAAAAAAA